GCCTCCCAGGTTCAAGTGATCCTCCCGCCTCAGCCTCCCAAGTAGCTGGCACTACAGACATGCACCACCATACCCAGCTAATTTTTGCATTTTTAGTAGAGACGGGCTTTAACCATGTTGGCCAGGCTTTCTCAATAAGCTGTCTTTATAAAGATTTTTGGCTACTGTTATTAGGAACCATTTGTGAATTTTAAGAAAATAATGCAGAAAAACTAGGAAGTATAGGCTGGGCGGGGTGGCTCACCCAGTCCCGCACTTTGGGATCCCAGCACTTTGGGAGGCCTAGGCGGGTGGATCACCTAACGTCAGGAGTTCAAGACCAGCCTGACCAACATGATGAAACCCCATCTCTACTAAAAATACAAAAATTAGCTGGGTGTAGTGGCGGGTGCCTTATAATCCCAGCTACTTGGGAGTGTGAGGGAGAAGAATTGCTTGAACCCAGGAGGTGGAGGTTGTGGTGACTGGAGATCGCGCCATTTCACCCCAGCCTGGGAATGAAGAGTAAGACTCCGTCTCAAAAAAAAAAAAAAAAAAAAAAAAAAAAAAAAAAAAAAAAAAAGAAAAACTAGGAAGTATAATATTAAGTATTGTATTTTATTTTACTACCTGAAATACAAATGATTTAACCACTAATGGCATATTTTAATTACTTTTTCAGCAGTAGAATGTAAAAAAGATATTTACTAACACTAGTTTCCAAATTCAGGTATTAATCATAGCGAGTTTTTTGCAATAAAGAATCCCATGTTTTAGTCAGTATTACAGTACTATTTAAATATTTTTCTTAATATATAAGCCATTAAAATGGCAAATTTCATGTTGTATACATTTTACCATGATTTTTTAAAATAATAAATACTAAGTCTCATAAGAGCTTTTAATCCTTGAGAAGCCTTTTTTCTATGTGTATAGTCCTGTCCTTTTTATTATTTCAGAAAAAGGTAATCATAGTGATAGAAATCTTTAACGATGGCAATTTATATGTATCTTTAGTTTGTGGCTTTTAAAATGAAAATTATTACAGCTGACATCTAATATATGTATCTACTAGGTACTGAGTAGGGCACCCACAGGAAGTAAATTCCATACCTTAAATTAATCTCATGTTGTTAATGTGATAAAATAGAAGACTCAGCGTTGTTGGTCTGGGGGAAACTGGTGTTTTAGCTTCTCTTCTCGGCTGTCATAGTGGTGCCAGTAACTTACAGAGTAGAAAACGCTCTGGTTAACGCTCAGAATCTGTAATGAAGAGCTACTGTAGATCTTCGTGTGATGCTAGTAGCAGAAAAAAGATAGTTTTTGTTTTAAGGGCTTACATAAGATAGTTGAGGACAAAGAATGCACTAAGGATAGCCCCAGTGCCTCCGAATGGCTCTTGATGTATGATGGTTGCTCAGATATTTGTTTAATAAATCAATTTACAGGTATTCATTGGGATGCAATTTGATGATAATTAAATGCATAAATTGTGATAGCTATTTATCAAGCCAATTTTATATGCTAGCATTTTGTTTGAGTGAGAGATTGGGTGGGGATGGAGATACCAGGAAATTCTGTAAGTGTTACCGCCTTCAAGGAACTTGGAAAGGTGGTGGGCGATGGGGAAGATACTAAAGAATGGTGTAAAAAACCCAAGGTTGAATATAGCCAAGTGCTTCAGTACTTGGTGAAGGTGCAAAATGCTCCATATGAAGAGAAAAGAATGTAGTGGTGACCAGATTTATGGTGGGAGTGGGATTTGGGGTAGGCCTCAAAGGACTATCTTAAAGGCTGAGAAAGGGTGAAAGGTATTTGCATGTAGGGATACTGATCAGTTACGAGACCAACTAGAGCAAAGGTGTAAAGCCTAAGAGTCAACCCCTCGAAAGTTAATGAAATGTGAGCTCCGTCTGACTGGAGCTGGGAAGTCCACTTTAGGAGAAGGTGACAGACTTATGGTTGGATTGGTTAAGTGAGATGGCGTTATACAGAATCTTCATCATCAGAAGCGGAGTAGTTCATAGTTCACATAGACTCCAGCGGAGGAGTCAGGGGACTTAGTATAGGTTCTCTAACTGAAAAATGAATTGATGTTTAAGGAGAGATTAATTTGGTAGTTTTGTGTATGGTATGAAAATGGGGTTGGAGAGACTAATTAATGGGTTTGCTCCAGAGTGCCCTTGTGTGGGGTGTACACTTTTTTTTTTTTTTTTTTTTGAGGCACAGTTCTGTGGCGCAATCCCAGCTCACTGCAACCTCTGCCTCCCAGGGTCAAGCGATTCTGCCTCAGCCTCCCGAGTAGCTGGGACTACAGGCGCCTGCCACCACACTCCACTAATTTTTTGCAGTTTTAGTAGAGATGGGGTTTCTCCATGTTGGCCAGGCTGGTCTCAAACTCCTGACCTCGAGTGATCCGCCCGCCTTGGCCTCCCAAAGTGCTGGGATTACAGGTGTAAGCCTCTGCACCCGGCCTAGTGTACACTTTTATATGACACATAAGGCTGAGTCTAGGCAGAATTATAAGTAGATTATTGCCTTTTGCCTTTTTTCCCCCCACTATTTTCCCCGTGTCTCTCTTCATTGTCCCCATGGACCCTAATATTACAATAGATTGTCTAGCTATCATAATAGATTCTAGACAATCAGCTGTTATTCAGTGAGTTTGTGATTTGGGGGATAATCTCTTTTTTAAAAAACACAAATTCTCACTTTAATAAGTGACTTTTGTAAACCAAGAGCTTTCCTTGTCAAATTTTCATTATAGGTTAATGATGAAATGGCAGGTAATTCACACTTTTGGACAGAGCACACCGCCCCCGTGGAATCACCCTACAGAAGAGGCCAGCTATAAAGGATGTCTCACACCTTTAAGATCAGTGTTTCTCAATGTGTGGACCATGGATACCTGTATTAGAATACACAAAGGATTTGTTTAAAATTCAGGCTGAGCCCCTCCCAAGACCTAATAGAGCTAAAAGCTTTGGGAGTAGGTGGAGGAAACCTGCATCTTTACCCAGCAATCCAGGTAATTTATATGCATACTACATTTTGAGACCCACTGATGAAAGAATTCTAATTTTCTATAGAGTTACTCTAGCAAGGAACCTTCTCATTTCTTATATATTAGGTTATTTCTACGTGGGACATTTCCCAGTAGACCATATTATTTATGGTATCTTACTAGGTGGAAGCCAAAAGAACATTAAATAATCTGCTGGTGTTTGGGGGTTAGTTTTGCACTATTTCTTACAGTGCAAGCAATTCTTGTTACCTCGTAAAACGGTTCCCCCTTTGAAGGGTTGAATACTAGTCACATAGCAGCCCAGCCTGTGGTATATGTGTTTAATCTGTCAAATCTCATTCCATTTTTCTTCTGTAAGAATGCTAATGATACCAATTTCTAGAATTGAATGATTTCTACTCTGCCTGTTGAACTGCAAATTTGAAATCCCCTATAATAATTAGAGCCCTCCTTAGAGTATATTATAATGACCATTGAACCTGTATCTAAAAATTCTAGTAACTTAACTATCCAGTCTTAAAAACAAAAAATTAAAACAGGAACTCCAAAACAATCTCAGAAGTTAGAGTAGGTGAAGTTAGCCTATTTTTGATGTGTGAAGGGATGGCAGTGGAGGAGAAAGATGGATTACTAAGTATCATTTATTTCTTACTGGGTAAAAATTCAAACAGGAGACCTTATAGCTGCCTTTTTATTATACTTGGCTTCCTTTTAAGTTTATTGGCCTTTGGTTGGTACATATGTGAATAAATTTAGACTATTATTTTATTTGACTGACAAACACTTAAAAATGAGTGTTCATATTCATTTTAAGTGGAGTTAGAAATGGAACCTAAACTGTAATATATAATATACCATGCCGCTTTCCGTTCTGATTTTATGGTAACATTGAAACTAAAATGTTTCTTTCTAATGTGTCCATCCTGACTGCCATCCTTAAACTAGAGCCTCTTGTCTGCTATCTGAAAAGAGCAACAGCAGGAAGGAAGCAATTGATGTATACACATTTGAATTAGTCTGTAAAGCCCAAGGTCTGTATTTGTTCAAGAAGAGACAGAAGCAGCAGTAATGCTCTGTGCGTCAGGTGGATTAGATGCAAATGTGCAAGCTATCATCTTTCTAAGAGAAGCATTTTAACAGGGCAGTTTTGTTCCTAGCTCTTCTTTTTTTTCTATATATCTGTTGTGTTGATTTTTAATTTGGATTATTTTCCACTGGCTTTAAAAATGTAAGTCTTTCTCAAAAGAGAAAGCATTTTGTAGCATCATAATGTACATTGATTATACATCAAACTATATATAGTGTAGTTAGCTTGATGTAGACTGTGTAGCTTTGTAGTTTGCAACTTAGTTGTATATTTAAATGAGAAACAAGTGACTAACTGGATCCCATCAAGGTGGGTGTTAGGTACAGCCTCAGCCATAAAAGACTTAATCAGGCCGGGTGTGGTGGCTCATGCCTATAATCCCAGTACTTTGGGAGGCTGAGGCAGGTGGATCACCTGAGGTCGGGAGTTCGAGACCAGCCTGACCAACATGGAGAAACCCCATCTCTACTAAAAATACAAAATTTGCCAGGCGTGGTGGTGCATGCCTGTAATCCCAGCTGAGGCAGGAGAATCACTTGAACCAGGAGGCGAGGTTGCAGTGATCCCAGATCACGCCATTGCACTCCAGCCTGGGCAACAAGAGCGAAACTCCCTCTAAAAAAAAAAAAAAAAAAAAAAACAAGACCTAATCAATACGTTTCCAAGGAGAAAGTGGGATTTTGAAATTCCTACTAGCTGCCAAAAGACAAAATGTTCCTGACACAGCTTTACTACCAAGTGAAAAGATTAAAAAATTCATTAGCTATAGCAAAAATCAGTTTTCAGTTTCTCTGGTTACCAGTTTTCTGGAAATCATTTGATTTTCAAATCTGCTGTTAGATTGCATTGTGCTTTTAAATAGAGCATCTGGAGACTCTGCTATAAAACTCAGAAATGAAGATGTCTCCATTAAATTTGGTCATAGTAGCATGAAATCTTTTAGCTGAATATAAAACATTTCAACACCTTTAAAGGATAAATGCTCATACCTTCAGGACTGTCAACTACTTTTATTAGTTATGTGGGACTAGATGCATCTCCCTTGGAGCATACTCTTGTTAATTTAAAGTTCCTTGTAGCTTTAATTTTAAAGGACTTATTTGGAATGTTATTAACATTCCTCTCATTTTGTAATCCCCAACAGAATTTTACCATTGCCAGATAATTTAACTAGTGCAGGAATTTGACTTTGTTATAGACTCATGAGGGGCAAATTCTTTACTGATGATTTGATGGTTAGCTTTGCTAGAAGATTAGGAATATTACTATTTTAGTTTCCCACGATGATAAGTCTTTGAAAATGGACAAGAGAATTGACTCAGTAAAAGTTACAGCCACAAAAACAGCAGAATTGTGAAATTTTTCTCATTGCTGATAAAATGGAGTCTTTAAATGCATAGTTGCATACATGTATGAATGTGTACGCGGGCGCGCGCACACACACACACACACTTCGGGAATGTAATCTGTAAAATATGTTGCCAGTCTCAGATGATACTGTAAAATAAGTGAAGTTTTCATTGTCCCGGCTTTCTTTTCTGCTTGTTTTTATTGATTTTGAAATTAGCCTACCCCAATATCTTCCAGGGAATTTTTAAAAAGTTATCCTTCTCTCTTTCTTGAGGTTCCTCATATACTTTCTATCACACGCATATTTTCACGAGAGCAAAGTCTACCCTTAACTGAAATGAATGACTGCTGAATGATCAGGAACTCCAAGTCCACATGGAATTCTTGCTCTTCGGTCCCAGACTCTCCCTCCTGTGTCCCCCTCAGGCAGGTGAGCATTCTGTAGTTTGTAGTGACAGCTCTTCCTGGTTTGGGTTTTCTTCCTGTCATTGCCTTATTCCAGTTAATCATTACCTAGACTAGTTGCTAAGCTGAAAATTCATATTGTGGAATTTCATATTGGATAACATAGTTGCTTTTCTTGTTTTTTGAACAATGCTTTCAAAAAATAAAGGAAAAAATTAATCTCTTAATTACAGCATTTTGGAGCCTTAACGTTTGATCAGTATTTAAAAGCAGTGTTACATGTTTGAATTGTGGTGGTTCTTGAAACTTTTTTACTGCCTTCTTTGTCCTCATGGAGAATGTTGTCCTAAGCACAGAACTTGTCATTCGAGTATCTTCAGGATTTGCACAAATTGTTTATCCTGTGACATCAATTCTTTGTGCTAACTAGTTTCTGCCTTTGACAAGGCTTTTGAAATTTGTGCAGCAAAAGCTTCCACGGATGAAGGACAATGTAGTTTTGTTCACTGCTGATTCTTGGAGTGGTTAACATTTGGGGTGATACTTTGATTAAAGCACACAAGAAAATATGTGAGGATAACTGTGGAAATAGAAAATATGAACATTTTAACATTCTCACACTGAGTGACTTTCATGTAAAGGTTTATTTCCTTCCAGGAATGCTGTCACTTTACTCAATTCAGTGATTTCTTATTTTTTCAAATTAATATTAGTTTGCTTTGACAAATGAGTTTATCAGATTGCTTCATCTGACCAAAATTTTTAAAAGTTCGGTACTCTGTCCTATTTTTTTGTCATGAACATCTGTCACACTGATCTCATAATACCTGTTTCTTTCTACCATCCACAGCACAGTTATTTTTCCTTTTTTTCTTGTCATTCAAAATGGTGTTTATTTTGTATTTTTGTCTGTTTTCTTTTAAAAATAATACCTGTTTATCATAACTCATTCAACCCGTAACAAAGGAGATGAAGTAAAAAATTCATAATTAGCCAGCCAGCCTAATTCTTCTTCTGCAGGGGCAACCACTGTTAGTTCCTCATGTGTTCTTCTAGATGCTTCCCGAGCATATAAGCCACACATCATTTGTAATGCCTGCATAATATTCTGCTATATGCTTAACCATAATTTAGTTAACCAGTTTTCTCCTGAGGAACACGTTTCCTGTTTTTCTGTTGTGCCCAGTATCTGCAGTTTCCCATGGTGCTCCAGTCCTCTACTGAGGAGGATTTCAGCTGTTTCCTGTTCTCTTCCCTATTCTACCCAGTCTTGACAGAGTTTGGAAGGATGTTTTTCTTTTCTTAGACATGTTATTTTAGAGCACTCAGGGATATAGTAGTTACATGGAATTTCTTGATGTAATGCTTTGTTTTGTTTTGTTTTGAGATAAGAGTTTCACTCTTGTCACCCAGGCTGGATTGCAGTGGCGTAATCTCAGCTCACTGCAACCTCTGCCTCCTGGGTTCAAGCGATTCTCCTGCCTCAGCTTCCCAGGTAGCTGGGATCACAGGTGCCCACCACCACACCTGGCTAATTTTATATTTTTAGTAGAGAGGGGGTTTCGCCATATTGGCCAGGCTGGTTTCGACCTCCTGACCTCAAGTGATCCACTCACCTCAGCCTCCCAAAGTGCTGGGATTACAGGTGTGAGCTAGCACGGCCGGCTGTGATTTAATGTTAATAATTTTAAAACCCATGAATGTTTTCAGGGAATTAGAGTTAACTTTTAGAAAATTGCTTTCGTAGTGTCCCGTGTCATCCTTATGTGAGAAAAGCATTATCCTGTAGGCTGGGAATAGAGAGTACAAAACAGAGGCCAGGCCCTGATGGATTCACCATGGGGCTTCACTCTTTCTCTTCACCTTTCACTACTGAAAGCTGTTAGTGTGTGTCTATTCACTATGTGATCCTAGGGCATATTTTACTGATAGGATTATTTGAGTAGGAGTTGTGTGGTGGCAATTGTGAGTTGTTTTTTTTTCAGTGGTGGGGGTGGTTTTGAGGCAGCGTCTGGAGTGCAGTGGCATGATCTCAGCTCACTGCAGCTTTGACTGCCTGAGCTCAAGCAATTCTCTTGCCTCAGCCTCCCGAGTAGCTGGGACCACAGAAAGGAACCACCATGCCCAGCTAATTTTAAAAATTATTTGTAGAGCGGAGGTGTTGCTGTATTGCCCGGGCTGGTCTCAAACTCCTGGCCCAAGTGATCCTCCCACCTTGGCCTCCCAAACTGCTGAGGTTACAGGTATAAGCCACTGCGCCTGGCCCAGTAATTGCTTTAACAGTGGTTAATATGGATATTCCTTGAGCCAGAAGCATAATTTTCCCCATCTGATGCCCAAAATGTGAAAGGAGAGAAGACATTGACAGGTCTGCAGAAGCAGGGCCCCGCAAGGTGGCTACAGATATTGTTATGTGGGGCAGGGGTAGGGGAGGTGGTAGGGAGTTGTATGAAAAGTTTAGATCATTTTTTAGTAAAAACTATCTATTAAGGGTTAATTATTTAAAATATGTCCTTATAGGCTGGGCACAGTGGCTTATGCCTGTGATTCCAGCACTTTGGGAGGCCAAGGTGGGCAGATCACGTGAGGTCAGGAGTTCGAGAGCAGCCTGGCCAACGTGGCGAAACCGTGTCTCTACTGAAAATACAAAAATTAGTCGGGCATGATGGCGCACACCAGTAATCCCAGGAGGCTGAAGTACTAGGATCGCTTGAACCTGGGAGGCGGAGGTTGCAGTCAGCCGAGATCATGCCACTGCACTCCTCCCTGGGTGCCAGAGCAAGACTCCATCTCAAAATAGAATAATAAAATAAAATATGTTCTTATAGCTACTTGTATAGCAATCATATTTTCCCTAAGTGCTGGTTCCTCAGGAGCAAGGACAATGCTGTGTCACCCTGGTATCCCCAGCAGTGCCTCCCGTGTAGTACAGCAAATAGGGCTGATTAATTAATAGAAATAGTGAAAGAGAAATGTGCCATACAGATATGCAAATCCTAGTTATCAAAGTTAAATAAAAATGTCTTCCTTTTTCCTAATTCATTACTCTTATCTAGGCAATGAATAATTTCTTGGAAAGGAACTCTGTTGTATGTATTCTGGGCAAAAAGTGTCTTAACTCACTAATTCGCAACTATTTTGATTATACTTTGTTAAAGAAAAAACAAAATGGGCAAGATGAAGGAAGCTGTATTCTCCCGCTGTTGGAATGAAATTTGGTTTGAGTGTTCCTCACTGAAAAGTATCATTTTAAATTCTTTTCTACTTCATTTTCTGCAGTGGAAAGTTACAGAAATAGAGTTTGAAGGAAATGATTTCAGCCTGAAGTAATTAAAAATATTGCTTTGGGTTCTTAAAAACTCATTTTCCTTTGAACTCATATACAGTATTTTGTTATGCATGACAAATAATGACATATATGGAGGCTGTCTTTGACGTCAGCATCTCACTTGGCATTGTTTCACATGTAGGTTGAACTCGCCTATTGAAAGTTTCTATAAATGTAATAAACCTACCTACAGTTTATTTCTGGTAGCCTTTGGGATTTAAGAGAGAAAACCAATGCTTTAACTGTTTTAAAATCAAGGAAGCAAAATATCCATGAGAAAGTAAGCCACTTAGCATTCGACAATGAAAAGTTTCAAAGCATTTTGTAAATTTTAAATATACTCTATAATTCTTCTATAATTGATACCTTTGGTACTTTTTGGGTAAATTGGAGTTATTCCAAAATAGTTATATTTTATAGCAGTTTTGACACCATGACACTTAGCAGCGGGATTTTAAAATTAAAGTACTGTTTAGTTCTTTTCGTTCTGTGATATTATGTGTATGGACAACTTTAATTGAAATGTCTAATTCTGGTAGCGGAGGAGATCTCATTAATTCAAAATTATAAAAGGTTTCAAAAAATAAGTATTTTTAAAATTATATAATTTCTTTTTGGTGTCATTTTAAAAGAATAAATATTCTTAGTTGTGCCTCCGAAAATCACTTATGGAGAAAATTGCACTTCGGGATTCTATACTTGTACCAGTAGAGGTCACTGTGCACCTATAAAAGGAAACCCAGTGCTTGCTTCTAGGGATGAGCTAGTTATCCTAGAATGTTATAACTAATAACATCATTGATCTTTCTGGGAACTTAACCAAATTCCCACCCCACTCCCGCCTCACCTCTTAACAGAATCACTTGCCTGTCATCATCTGAGAGTCCCTGTTATTGTCTGTTCCCATAATGGGAGTGTATTCTGATGAGGTTGAGTAGAGCCCTGGCACGCTGTCCCGTAGTATACTTAGGTGAATCAGCCAAAGCGCCAGAAACTATGATTTCACAGAAACAACCATTCAAACTCTCAGTTTCAGAGTTTGAGAGAACTTTAACATTCATTAGATTCAGCATCTGAGGTGGGGCTGGAGACTTTTTCATCTATTCTGAACATTTAATTTGCAAATCCAAAATCATTTCAAAGGTATTCTTTTCAGTACTGTCATCTATTTAAGAATGAGACTTTACTTATTAAAACTGTTTAGACCTTTATACTATTATAGTGTCCATGCTACATAGTGTTTGATTCTCTGAGTGTACCAACAAAATATTCATAGAATATTGTTTTATATGATTATTGCCACAGAGGTTTCTGATAACAGAAGAGTGAGAACTGAACTAAATGTTGGTTTGTTATAAAACTGCAATGGTGTCCTTACCAGATAGTCAAAGCAAATGTGTAAATCTCCAGTCAGCCTTGTGCAGTGACCCAAGTTACTGTGAAGGTGGCTGTAAAAGGTGATAAAGGAATGTCATGAATGAAGCAAGCAGTGGGGAATCGTAGAACAATGTAATTGGGCCTCAATTTACAGAAGGAGAATACAATGTAGGTGCTTTCATGGGTCCCTTCAGCTCTAACACTCTAATCATTAGTGCAGAGGGCACATTGCAGTGGTTAGCAATGTGGGTCCTGGAGAGAGTGCCTGGATTTGAGTTATGACTCTGCCACTTACTGGTCATGAGATTATCTTACTGTTA